ATGTCACTTGATGGTTGGTTTTCTCAGAGTATGGCCAGCCAATCCACCTCCATTTCTTCCTGCATATTTCTTGCACAATTGGTTCCTGCTGAGTTGGTTCATTCACTGCCAGAGATCCCTGTTGCTCATCTTTTCTGGCCGGCCATCTGACCTTGAGTAGTATTGAGCGAAGACAGCTGTTGATGAAGGTCTGTAGTTTGTTCGAAGTGCTTTTCGAGACACGGCGCGGTGCGGCGCCAAGTCTCTGATCCGTATAGCACATAGCACTGACTTCCCATTGGAGTTGAAAATCCGCATCTTATTTTCATTTTTTATGCTAAGTAGTGCTTTTGATCACCACACAGGACTTGACAGTAAGATAAGCTTGCCTTACTACTACTACTTACTAGTAATGAAAAAAGCACAAAAAGAGACATTTTATCATTGAATAAAACTTACCTCAGAATCAGGTTCTAAATCGCGTAATTGTCGATTTATCACTTCAATAATCACTTCAAAATCATTATGATAGATCAGCACTGAAATATCCGGAGAGTAGAATAAATCACAAAGAAATTTGATTACAGTATTTGTAGGCATAGTTGTTGAATTGACATGATGATCAGACAGTACTGGCTTGTTGTCAGTCAGCTCTAAAGAGCCGCTTTGACGACGACAGCCTAGATTAGAATTCCACAGACTTTCAATATATTCTAAATCATCATGAGTATTATTGTCAGCGCGTGAATTAGCTTCAAATATTTTTAAAAACTCCTCTAAATCTTTAGCTGTAGTGGCAGTAGATGTATCATTAGTGCAACTGTCATGTATATTGGACTGACAAAAGTTAACCCATTGGATTAGACAACTTTCTCTGTCATCACTTTTATGCTTTGGAAGGAAAGTCACCATAAATGTTGGGTCGACTGAAATTAGAAACCAAAAAACACAAACATTGTAGATTATTTCCATATTAGATAAAATTTGATATAAGTATAAAACTTGTGCACTGTGATAGAGTATAATTCCATTACGGGTAACATTTATTTTGATAAAGTCTCACAATGTGTGACAGAGTAATATTTGCTGATGACCATGTTTCGAGTACAAATTATTGCCACTGATAATCATAACAAGACACTACTCACACAAATTTCTGACTTCCTTCAAATAATTTCATTATTTTCCATCGTTTGATTTGATTGGTAGTAGTATTTTCCATATTTCCGGTATGAGTGATGAGTCATTCCTATTGCACGTGTTGCGTGTAGATAACTGGATGAACCAGGATTCAGTGATCAACCTCTCTCTTCACCTACCTAGATTACCATTTAAAATTTTAACCCCCTCCCACCACCCTGTTGTGTGGTTGTTTGTTAATGCGTGCATGCAGTGCAATTGATGAGCTTTTTTCTAAATTACTTATCTTCTTCGGGGTCAACCATTCTTACCTGACCTACATTCTTATGTTCTGACAATCTGACTATCCCCGACCTACTAGTTTGACTAACCTATGTAGTTGACTTGACTCACAGTCATTGCAGGGTATTTTGTAAGTTATATTATTTTGCCTAATTCGGTCAACAGGGTCTTTTAACCTACAGAGCTTGTCCCACGTGAGTGAGTTTGTGGGTTTGAATGCCACTCCAATTCCTGCTTTATTTAGAATGCTACGTAGAGTCTGAGATGTCCCCTCTTTATGTGGTATAACAGTAGATGACTTAGATCCTCTCTTATTTATGTCATTATTACTAGTTTCATAATTCTTTTTCTTTTGGCCTTTTTCAATCTTCCTAATGAATTTTAAAGCATAGTTATTTGATACCAACGCTTCTTCTATCTGTTTCATTTCATCATTTAGGTCTTTTCTTGTGCTACTGCTCGGTTTGTTAGACACTTAACAACTGAGCCTGCCTTTGCAGACAATGGATGAGATGAATTAAAGTCCAAATATCCATTAACAGAATGTGTTGGCTTTTTATAAACACTAGTGTACAGTTTGCCTTCTTCTATTCGTTTTATTTTGCAATCTAACTTCATAGCTAATTCTCTTTGTTCATTTTCCGGTTCAAATGTGAATTTTATTCCCTCTACTAGTGAGTTTATATGTGTCAAGAAGCTAGAGATAAGTTCTGCTTTTAACATTGTATGAGAAAGTGTCATCCACATATCTCCACCATATTATCTTTGGAGAAGGATTACATGTATTAAGAACAATATTTTCCAAGCTGTCTCTAAAAATATCTGCTACTATAGGGGATATTGGTGATCCCATTGCTACACCATCTATTTGTTTATATAATTTGCCCTGGAATTTAAAGATAGATGTGAGGTATAACTGAATTCCTAAAATAATTTTCTCAATGGGCAGCTTCGACATATGAGTGGGTTCAGGATCTGCAGTTAGCTCTTTTTAACTGCTTCTAAGGCCATATTGATTGGTATATTAGTGTACAGACTAGTTATATCAAAACTGACCATTTTTTCATTATTCTCTAATTCAATGTTATTTAGTTCCCTTTTCATTTCATATGAATCAGTTAGTCTAGAGTTTGAACGATTTCTAATGGGGCATAATATTAGAGCTAAGTGTTTTGATAATTCATAAGTAGGGGTATTCCCGAAATCTACTATTGGTCTTATGGGGTATCCTGGTTTAGGTAATCTTATAGTACCACACATTCTTCTAGCATTATTAGTTTTAGGCATTAAATTAAACCAATTAGAGTCATCTAGTGACGGCTTCATTCTGCGTATTAAATCCGCTGTAGATTTTTCAACCTTAGCCATTATTGTATCTACAGGCTTCTTAATTTCCTCATATAGACCCGTCTGAATATATTCAGTGCTTGAAACATGGTTATCAGTAAGTATTACTGTAAAGCAAACTGTTAGACTTTATCAAAATAAATTTTACCCATAATGGCATTAGACAAAAATTTATTTAAAATATCACACACAGTGATTACGCTGTATTAACAAAACCAACATTTATAGGAAACCGACACACACACACACACACTCTAATGCAAAATACTTAGACTTTAAGTCTGCACCCGGAATCAGTAAAGAAGGATCTGGTTAAATGTCTGTTTAATTGGGCCAAGTGCCTGAATAACTAGTAAGCCAGTAGACTAAAATAATGAAGTCGAATAAATAATGGAAATATTACCAGTGAACAACTAACTACCCACCAGAATTTATTCAGAAATACATTAAGAACTACAGAAAAAACGAGATTAGTAATAAAAATGATGAAAATAACGAGGAAAATAATACAGAATTCAAAGCCTCTGCAGCACTTGCGTATAAAGAAAGAAGGTCATAAGGCCTCACGTAACATCCTCAATGAGGCTGGAATTAGTCAGCGTGGGCATTTAAATCTATCCACCAACGAACTCTCTCTCTTATAAATAAACTTTGTCGGCTTAAGGAAAAATTAATGCAGTTTACCAAATACCGTGTAATGCTGACTGTGAGGTCAATTCCATAGGTGAGTCAAACTAGTAGATCGGGGTCAATTGGATTACTGGAACATGAAACTTTAGCTAGACATAGAATAACTGACCCTGTTTAATTAAATAACCTTTAAAAATGCTCGGTTATCACACAATAGAATGGGCGGGACAGGGAAATTGTAATCAGTGAAGCTTTGTTTATCGATTCCACACCACGCGCATGCAATTGGAATGACATATCGCCTCTACCGGGGATATGGAAAGTCGCAACAAACACCAAGGGGAGGTTGGAGAGAGAGAGAGAGGGAAAGTATATACATTGTGAGAGAAATTGTGAAGCCCTGTGATTAAATTGATATGATTATGAGCAATAATCTACACTCGAAACATTGTCATCCAGTTGTGAATATTGCATCACTCACTCACTGTGTGATGTTTAGAATGAAGTAATCTAATATGGAATTAAATTCTACCGGTGTGCCCAAATTCTACACTTAAATTAATGTTTCTGTGGCATTCATCAATCCGAGTTACTTCTTGGGACGACGAAAGCTCCGCAACAAAAACCAACCAGCTCAGAGAACACTACTAATTGCAAATCATTCACCTGAACTACAAATCTTCTCTATCATTTCAAATAAATAGGACATTAGTAAAACTGAACAGACAAAGCTAAGCTTACGCAATTCCATTATGGATAAAATCTTATTTCGATGATAAAGTCTCACAATGTGTGCTATATAGTGCTATATTTACTGATGACCACGTTTCGAGCACTATTGATTCCTGCTCATAATTATATCAACGCACTACTACTCGCATAACTTCCATGACTTTTCATCTCATGATACGGTTGGTGGTCATATTTTCCAGATCTCTGGTATTGATGATGAGTCGTTCCCTATTGCAAATCCGATCACCACCACGACGTCAAGGTAGCAAGCAGTCACAGGTCGTCACATTAGACAAAGGTCTTAAAGCTGATGAACTCACAACAACCAGCACTGGACACACCTGCTTTATTGTAGTTTGACAACTCCACAATAAGAGGGGTCGAACCAAAAACCCGCTGGTGACAATTAGTTGAGCTGGTCGAACAAATAAATAATTAAATAAATAGAAAAAAACGTATTGATTATTACAACTTACAATTACGATTGAATGTTTGAATAACTATTTCAAGGAATAGACGAGATGATATTGATTCACTGAGCAATGCTTCCAATAGAGGACTTTTCACACAGACAGAATCAGCGAGATCATTTTTACACGGAGAATTGATTGTGTAGACTGAACTATTAAAATGCCAATTATACGCTAAGAAAAATACTGTTACACTATATGAAAACATTTCACACTGGCGACTTTGTTCATTAGAGTTGCTGTTATTATTATTATTATTATTATTATTATTACCACTATCATCATTAGCATCAGCATTATTATTATTGCTTGTAGTTGAGAGTTCACGATGATCAGTAAAATTTTCTAAATCGATTAAATTTGAACTGGTTGAACTCGTTGAATCGCATAATTTCATCAAATGACTGAAAAGTTCTCGATCTAGAGATGCTGAAAAAAAGAAAAGGCAATATTTGCACAATATTAATTATACACTATAAAGCAAGCGCGCGAACTTTGAAAAGGGAGTGAATTTTACACGCTCTTGTTTAGTTTTGGCTTTTGTTGTGTTATACGCTCCAAAGGTCTACAGATTAACTTTAAATCAGTTTATTCTGATCAAAGTTAGTTTACTTTTCAGATCTGAGTCTATTTAAATTATAGCAAGATGTGTCTTATAACATAATAGTTATATATATTTTTGTGCACTCATTGGTTTTTATCACTGATTTATAAAGGTCTATATACATTTAAAGTTATATTTAAATTTCTTCCCCAGTTCGCTCTAGACAGTATGCCCATCAAAAAAAACCACTGCGGAAGGGTTTTGTGCCAATTCCCAGTGGATGAGGGAATGCAGTGTGATAACTGCAAGAGATGGTTTCACAGTATGTGCACAAACCTAACTCCTGCAGCATACAAACGCTGCTGCAAACCTCTAGCAAACTGGTTGTGCAATGACTGTTGTAGTACTACCAAATTCCGTATTACAGAAGCCATTTCCACTCTCAGTGGGGCTTTAAAGCTCATGGACTGCAAGCGTCCTCCACTACAGGAGAACACCGACTATTGCTCAGACAACGATGATGTGACTAGCGTCATCGACAAAACAGCACATGTCCCCTATGCGTCTCTGTCAATAAGTGAGTGCCCTCCAGCGCAGAAGAGCACTCACCACATTCCAGACACTCAGGCTGCCCCCACGATACTGGATAAGCCCTCCAGTGACAGTAATGAAAAGACTGCCACGAAGAAGAAGCGTACCAGGGGTCGAAAACCTGCAGCTCAAGTCACCCAGGGACTAGTGGATCAAGCCTCATCCACACCGGTGAGTGATAGGCAGATAAATCCTGCTACGATTAGCGAGGAGATCGCCAATGAATGGCGTAACGTAGTCTCTCGCAAAAAGCGAGATAAGGACAATACATTGGCCACACTGCCCACGAAGGACAGAAAGACATTTACGCCGCAGAGCAAGAAGGCCACGGTAAGCAAACCTAATCTCTCTGACAGGTCGCTCATTCTCCACAAAGTGGAAGAGTCACTGGCCCCCCATCCCAAGACTAGATTTGAGCATGACCTTAACTCGACCCCACAGCAACAAGTGAACTGGTTTACAAGAATCGAGTAATTATCATGCTTCAGTTAAATTCATATGAGAAGTCGAAAATGAGTCAAAGATTCCATTTATGTATGTAGAATTGACAAGAAGAAATGATGAGACACTGAAAAAATTTATCCACTAAAAAGGTTCATGGGTAGTTATTATTTATTATTATTATTGTTCCCTTGGGTTCCTAGTGGAACATAGGGCTTCAACTGCACGTCTCCACTTGCTTCTGTCTTCTGCTGTACTTTTCACTTGCGTCCATGTTATTCCATACTGTTTCATCTCCTCCTCACACGATCTCCTCCATGTCACCCTTGGACGTCCCACTCGCCGCTTCCCTTTCGGGTTCCACTCGAGGGCCTGACGCGCGATGTCACTCAACGGCCTCCTCAGCGAGTGTCCAATCCATCTCCACTTCCTCCTGCATATTTGTTGGGCGATTGGTTCCTGTTTCGTTTGTTCCCATAGCTTCTTGTTTGTGATTCTTTCCGGCCATCTAATCTTCAGTATGGAGCGAAGACAGTTGTTGATAAAGGTCTGCAACCTGTTGGAAATATTCTTTGTGACACGCCAAGTTTCTGATCCGTATAGCAAAATTGACTTGACGTTTGTATTGAAAATCCGAATTTTGTTGTTGATGGTGAGTGACGAAGATTTCCAGATTGGTTTCAGATTGATGAATGTGTTTCTCGCCTTCCCGATTCTCGATTTGACATCCTCGTCCGTTCCTCCTGTGGTTGAGACAATGCTCCCTAGATAAGTGAAAGAATTAACCTCTTTCAAATCCCTCCCGTTGATGGTGATTGACACTGGATGTTGCTGCTGTTGTTGGTTGGTGATTTTCATAACCTCCGTCTTGTCTATGTTCACCTGGAGTCCTGTCTTCTCTGGCTGCTTCTTCGACCAGTTTCTCGGTTTTCGCTTGTAAGTCTTCGATTTTGTGTGACATCAAACATAAATCATCTGCGAAATCTAGGTCTTCTAGGTTCTTCACGTCGGTCCAGGATATCCCTGTCTTCTCGTTTCCCACTGTCTGACGCATAATCCAGTCCACCACAATTAGGAATATCATTGGTGATAATAAGCACCCTTGTCTGACTCCTGTGTTTACTCCAAACGCTTCGCTGAGTTTTCCATTGTGGATCACTTGACATGTGCCGTTGTCGTACAGTTGTTGAATAAGGTTGATGAATATTTGGGGTACGCCGTAGTACTCGAGTAGTTTCCAAATTACTTCGCGGTCAACGCTGTCGAAGGCCTTCTCAAAGTCTATGAAGTTGAGGTAGAGGTTTGATTGCCATTCCATGCTTTGTTCGATGATAATGCGTAGAGTTGCAATTTGGTCAGAACATGATTTGCCTTTCCTGAATCCAGCTTGTTCTGGACGGAGTTCTGCATCCAGTGCGTCCTTGATTCTCTCCAGGATGATGCGGCTCAGGATTTTACTTGGCGTCGACAGGAGCATGATTCCTCGCCAGTTCTTGCAGAGTCTCAGGTCGCCCTTCTTTGGTAGTTTCACAAGGTAACCTTTCCTCCAGTCAGTAGGCACCTTTCCCTCCTTCCAGACCTTTTGCAATAATGGAGTAAGCATATCTGCCGTCGTTTCTGGGTCCGCTTTCAGTGCTTCCGGGGGTATTCCATCTGGTCCAGCTGCTTTTCCAGCTTTCAGAAGCTTGATGGCATTCAAGACTTCAGTTTTCGTTGGAGGATTGGTGTCCACTTGCAGTTGTGTACGTGCTGTTGTTGGTATTACTGGACGGGTTGTAGGTGGTGGTCGATTCAAGAGTCCTTTGAAGTGGTCCGCCCATTGTTTAATCTGTCTTTCTTCTTTGGTAATTGGGTTCTCTTGGTTGTCTTTTATAGGTTTCACTTGTGTTGATCTCTTCCCGGATAGAGACTTGGTTATCTGATATAGTGTCCTCAGGTCCCTTTTGCCTGCTGCCTTCTCAGCTTCAGTAGCCAGGGTGTCGTAGAATTGTCTTTTGCCCTTCCTGGCACTCTTCTTCACTTCTTTGTCCAGTGCTGTGTAAGTTGAGTTCAGCGTCTCTTTCTCTTGTCCATCTTTGCATTGAATCATTTTTTCTTTCACCTTTCTCCTCTCCTCTATTAGTTTCCAAGTGTCTGTTGAGAGCCATTCCTTGTCTTGTTTCTTCTTTCTTCCTAACACCGTTGAGCACGTTTCGTTGAAAATTACTTTCAGAGAGTTCCAATGGTCTTCCACGGATGATTCCTTAGTGGTGCCACGTAGTGTTTCCTGCTTTGCTCTGACAGTTGCAGTGAAAGTGTCCTTTGTGGTTGTGTCTTTCAGTTTTTGAGTGTTGAACTTGCATTGTGGCCTATCCCCAGGTATCCTCGAGGCTTTCAGCTTCACCTTGAATGTCCCTTGTACTAGATAGTGGTCTGAACCCACATCTGCTCCTCTCCTCGATCTTGTGTCCAGTAGGCTCCGTCTCCACTTCCTTGAGATTGAAATGAAGTCTATCTGGTTTTTGGTGTGTCCATCTGGTGAAATCCATGTTGCCTTGTGTATATCCCTGTGTTTGAACACACTGCCACCAATCACCAAATCATTGAAGGCGCAGAAGTCTGAGAAGAGTTCGCCATTTTCGTTCATTTCACCGAGGGCCTCACGACCCATGTTGAGTTCTCTTCCTGTATTGTCTCCTCCCAGTTTCGCATTCATGTCGCCCATCAGGATTTTGATATCGCTCTTTGGGACGTTGTCCATTACTGTTTGTAGTTGACTGTAGAAATCCTCCTTCTTCTCATGTTCTGAGGTGTTTGTAGGCGCGTAGCACTGAATGATTGTGACCTTCTTTCCTTTTGAGTTGAACCTGGCTGTCATTATCCTGGAGGAGATTGGTTCCCACTGCATGAGAGCTTTAGCCGCTGTTGGTGACATCATGATGGCTACTCCCTCGGTGTGCTCGTGATTGTCCTCTGGGTGACCGGAGTAGATTATTGTCTCTCCAGTTGATAGTTGGCTCCTTCCACATCCGTTCCATCTGCTCTCACAGATTCCCAACATTTCTATTTTATATCTCCTCATTTCTGCGGCTACCTGAGCAGCCTTCCCAGCTTCGTACATTGTACGAACATTCCACGTCCCCATCCTTATTTTCGCTTTCATCGAAAGAAGGCACATCGGCTGACTGGCTTCCCGAAGGCTTTCACCAGCCCGCGTCATTTCACTTCCCCGATTCCAGCGAAAAATAAGGTCACTATTTGTAATTTTAGAATTTTGAATATATTTGTGCGTTGAAGTTTTAGTAGCAATTTGGTTAAGTTTTGGGGGTGGAGTTGCTAGCACCACGCCCCAACCCTCCCTCTTTATCCGGGCTTGGGACCGGCTAGAATACTAGTGACCTAGTAATCTAGGCGAGGTATTCATGGGTAGCTGGGCACAATTAATCTAGACACACCAATAAGAAAAGATAATTCGTCTGAATGGTGTAATGTCTGTCTGTTTTCGACATAGAACTTTGCACATATGTGCGGCAGTTCAAGTCGCCACACTCCATGTAGCACACAAAGCAATAGAAGAAAGTAGGAGAAATGCATAATATAGACAGTTAACAGAGGTGTGAGACAAAGGAGTAGTAATAACGAAGAACGAACAGTTTCATCGGAAATCATAAGTCACAAGGAGTGGATGCATCTGCGCCACTGAGAACGATTTTGAGCCATGTCACCAATTGTTTCCAACCATTGGATTTTACCGTCCCGAGGACCGCAACCAGGAAGTCTACATCTCCCTACGTGACTTAGATTAACTGTTGTGGATTTCATTGATTGGTGCCATGTTTTCGTTTGACCGCCACTAGCTCTTTTCCAGCCTGGC